TCCCCCCCCCCCCCCTGTGGCCTCCCGCGTCAGCGTCTCTACCACCTGGCGCGTCCTGGTTGGTCGGGGCTACTGACCGGGCAGCTGACGTAACGTAACTTTTTTAAATTACGTTTTGACTCTCGGTTTCTGATTTTTCTTTCAAAAATAACTCATAACCCAAATTTTCACCCATTTTCTCCAAAATTGTTTTCAATTAAATCTCTAACCAATTTTTTACCCTTTTTATTATTATTATTATTATTAAATCAAATTAAAATTAAATTAAAATTATATAAATAATAATTATATTTATATATATATAAATAATAATAATTAAAAAAGAAAAAAGAAAGGTTGGGTGTTACAAATATAGTAAGAAAGCTTTAAGGGGAATAAGAGAGATTCTTAAATTGGGAAGGAGAATGATTTAAGCTTTTTGAACAATATTTTAAGTTTTTTCTATTTTTTAATATTTAAAATAAAAAATAAATACTTTTAAAATAACTTTAAAAGTTTGGGGATTAAATATCCACAAAAGATATTTTTTGGACTATATTATAATATTAAAAATAATAAAGTACCATATACTAATATACCTTATGTTAAATCCTAAAATTTCTAAATAAGTTAACATTTTTGTTTTTGTCTAAAAAAATTGTTAATATGTTATTATATTTTTTAATTATTCGCCTTTTATAAAATGTTTATAACCTTTTTAAGAGTCTATTCATACAAATAGTTTTTACAATAAATTAAATAAAATAAAAAAACTCAATTTAAATAAAGTTTCTATAATATCGCCTTTTTGTTCAAGTTTTAAATAATTAGAACTTTGAACATTTTAGATAACTGAATATTTTGCTTGACTTAAAAATTAGGACAACCTACTAGGGACGAGGTAAATTAGGTTCTTTAAAACTTTTAAGCTTTTAGTAGTTATTTATCAAACTTTCTTTTTATGCAATTTTGTCTAAAGTCAAGAGGAGTTCTCTTGTAAGAATATTTTCACTAATTAATATGTGTAAAGTAGTGAATAATAATTAAAATTATTTTTTTAATCAAGTTCTTAAAAAATGATAATAATAATATGAATAAATAACAATAAGATGATTAATTTTATAAATAAATCCTAAAGTGTATAAATTGGAATGTGAATTAGGATGTGATATAAAATTGTATTAAATAATAATTTAAACATAAAACAAAAAAAAAAAGAGTAAGAGATCACAAACTTTTTTATACAAATTTGATCATATCATTTGTGCCAACATATTCTCTCTCAATATAACTGTTTGAGTTTCTATTATTTTTTTTAATCAGTTATAATATGTTAATTGTTATTGATGTCTAAATCACTAACTATTTATATAAAAATTTTGATAATTTTTTTTTATCTTGATTTTTCTTATACTATTAGTTATTCTTGATGTTTAGCTCACTAATCACTAATTTTTCTTTACTTAGAAAGTCAATTAATATTGTTATTATAAAATTGAATTTATATCATTCATTAAAAGCAATTAATTTTGTTCGATATATGTATATATAGTTTTGTTATATATGTAATTATTATATGAAAAATATGCAATATATTACAATAAAAAATTGATTTTTGATACATTTATTTTATTACAATATAAACAGAACATCATGATATACTATGTCATAACATGTTAGTTTAATTAATTAATTAATATTTTTACTTTATCATAGTAATTTATTTACATTTATTTAACTAAAATTTCTTAACAAATTAATTTTTTTAGAAGAAGATTTTAATGTGTTATTTTCATTTTTTTTTTAAAAAAAATTATTAATCTTCAGTAAAATAATAATTAAATTTAAAGTTTGTAGCATAATTTAAATTAAATAAAATTTTATAAATTAAATTTGAAAGAGTCTGATTTTTATAATTATATTTATTTAGTTTTTAATTAAATATAAAAATACAAAAAATAAATATTTAAATCTTAAATAAAATACTTTTTAATTCAAAGTTATATAATGTCTCTTTAATTTAAATTGGAAATATTAATTAAAATTTTATCCCTCATTTAGTTTTTACAGAGCTGTTCATATACACACAACTGGTATTTTATTATTTTCCCTTCTCACTTCTTTCTCCCTCTCGAAATCAGCAGAGCCAGAGGCGCTCCCTGCTCGGCTTCCTCAAATCATCTCATCATCTTCACGCCGCTCGTTGCGGCAAAGCCAGATATTGAACTTCTCTCTCTCTCATCTCTTTTAACGTTGGAAGAAGAGCTGCCTGCGGCCGCGGCTGCGCCTCCTGTGTTCTTCACAGCAGCTTGCTCTTCATGTCTTCTTCGTAGTAGGGGGTCTTCACGGCTAGCAATCCATCTCTTCCCAGCTTCTGAAGATTTTTGTGCCTTTCCCTTTGAGGTAGTTTCTCAGTTTGGATCTTATGTGGTATAAATTTTAATTTTGAAATGCCTTCTTATTCCTAGTGAGTAGTGACGATCCAATTCAAATAGATTTCAAAAATTTCTTCATATTGGGATTATATCAAAGAACAAAGAAACAGGGATCGCTCAATAATTTTGATCAAACTGTAAAATGCACTGACCGTTCAAGAAAAAAAAAAAGAAAAGGGAGCTGAAATTGCTCCAGTTCCCTCCATTCTCTCGGCTCTCACGTTTCCCCAACTGAAAAAATAGATAATTGAGATTGTAAAATACCCTTGTATCCTTCCCTTTTCCCAACTTGAAGTAATTGTAACTAATTCAATAGGGATAGGCAGGAAATCTCTTACGTTCTGCAGCTTGTTGTGATTGTTGTGGAGTATGACTTGAAATTCGTAATCAATGATGCTCAGCAACACGGCTCAGATGTTTAGGTCTCTTACTCATCTTCCTGTTATTTGGTTATTTTTACTCTTTAATTCAGTGCCCAGGACTTGAGCCCTCTCAACCCATTTATTTTCAAAGCAGGGAGAGCTTCCATGCAAAGAATTGTTTATCATGAGGATATTATGTTGATGATATAACCAGATAATACCCCTTTCAATTCTTTAGGAATGCAAATAAGGAAAATGTTTTCTAGATTTTATTATAAAATTTCATATTTGTGTTTTTTCTTTTTGCAAGTTGTAGTTTTTTTACTAGTACTAAAATTATTTTTATCTGTTTTATTATGTTATTTTATTTTTTTATTGAGTTTAATTGTATTGAAATATTATTTTAAATTATATTTTTTAATTAATGTTTAAGATTTTTAATTAAGTTTAATTATTTATTTGATTTTATAACATTTTTTAAAGATAAAAACGGATAAATCGGGTGTGTTTTTGGTTGCAAGGTGGGTGGGGGTGGGTGAGTGAAGAAAGGGGTGCACAGGTAATTGAGATGGGTGATGGTAAGATTGTTTACCCATGAGGCAGGTGGTGGATAAAGAGCTTTCTACTCGCTCTGGGTATTGGGTGGGTATTGGTATGCAAATTTTATAGCTCGATGGGCATAGGGGTTGACAAACTGCTCATTCCTAGGCGTGACACGGAATCCTTGACTAACACATTAGCTATAACCTTCTGTTATATATTTGTCTTCTGACCCGAACATTCTCGAGAATTTGGTTTTAAATTGATGAAAAAACATGCTAGCTTTTTGAAAGTCGAACGGATCTTTATTACCCACAGTTCCCTTGGGATATAGAAAACAAGATTCCTGTTTTCTTGACTGCTTCATGTTCCTTGGGGTCTTTCTAATATTTGGCACTTCTCTTGAAAAATCCAGTGATAATGACAGGGTAGGAAGTAAACAGTTGACTTGATTTAGACGATTCTAAAAGCTTCATTCAAATCACGGACATTTCATCAAATTATGTTAAAGGTTAAATAGATGCAATATAAAAGTCTCATTCTGCAAATGGAATAAACAAGAATAGATTAAGGGAATCTTTTTCTAGCATCTTGTTCTTTGCTTGAAAAATTAAAGTGTTTAAAGTTAGCTCTACTGTCTAAAGACTAGGCATGTGCTAAAGTATTGACTTCAAAATTAGGTATTCTTAGTCATGTCAAAATCTGTTTTGAATGTCCAGTTGAGGGAATGATCATATATGCTGTCTATGATGCATATATAGAAGGAGAAAGGTGGCTTTATTGGATGTGGTTTCAATATTTTGAGAAGGCTGAAACTGGCTACTTTACTTGCCATTGTTGTTTGGATGTGTGGGAAAAAAATGAAGCCCAAGGACTGTAATTTGCTTAATTTGGCAAAGGTCTTTCTTTTCATAAGTTTGAGAAGTGGACTGAATGGAATAGGATAAAATTATAATTTTTATGTGCATGTAGATTTATAATATAAAATAAAGTAATTAGTTTAATTTTAAATGATTGGAAATAGGATAAAAATTGAGCAGTATTATAGTCGAAAACTATTTTTCCGATTTTAATATTTGTATACATTTATCTTTTTATAAATGGACGGTATCCTTTTGGTACTTTTTTTATACTATTCTAACTTTTATCTAAAAAAAAAGATATTTTTATACATTTATGCATCAAAATATATTGGCACTTAAAAGTAAAAGACATTTAACAAATAAAAAAATGGGACAAGAATTTAAAAAGTAATAAAATCTATTCTTTAAAAAGAGAAAATTTCCTTTGGAAAACAAAAATCCAGCAATTTCCAGATTATCTCGATTGAAGAAGTAGTTTTCCCATTTACATTTATGGCTTCTGCTGCTTCTTTCCCAGGTCTACGAACCTAATATCTGGAGCGGCAATCATTGGCATCCATCTCTTATGTTGATCTGAGTTATGTTTATGTCTGGATGTCTATCAATATGCTTCCACTTCACTCATGGAGTGTGATTGATTTTATTGTTTTTGTTTATTGAAGTTAATGTAAAACATGGTCTGTAGATTACCAAGTAGTTGTTGAACATATGCATATCTTCTCTCTGCAAAGCCCGTAAGTTGGAGAAAGCTGAAGTGGTTTTAGTTGATAGTATAAGATTGGGAATCCTACCGGATGTGGTAACATACAATATACTTGTTGACGCATATTCTCGATTCGTTAGCGTCGATGCAGATATTCTATTCTTCACAGAATGAAAGAGCTGGTCTTAGTCCAAACGTTATAACATACAATTCTTTGATATCTGGTGCTGCTCGGAGACATTTATATCACATTCTCTTCATTTGTTTGATGAAATGCTTCAATCAGGTTTACTTCCAGACATATGGAGTTACAATACTTGATGCATTGTTTCTTTGAATTAGGAAAACCAAATGAAGCCATTAAGGTTTTTCATGATATCATACTCCTTAATCTCTCTCCTTCCTCTGCAACATTTAACATTGTGCTACATGGTCTATGCATGAAGGGGTTTGTAGATAATGCCTTTATGTTATTTAGAAATTTACAGCACCATGGATTTGTTCCTCAAGTAGTTACATACAATATCATTATCAATGGGTTGTGCAAGGCTGGCAGACTGCAAACTGCAAGGAGGATCCTTAAGGAGCTTCAAGAGTTCGGTCATGTACCAAATGCTATGACGTACACTACACTTATGAAATGCTGTTCCAGATCCAAGCAGTCTGAACAAGGACTTCAGATATTGTTGGAGATGAAGAACAGAGGATATACTTTTGATGGCTTTGCCTATTGCAGGGTAATTAGTTCTTTGGTTAAAACAGGTAGGGTAAAAGAGGCGGTGGACTACATGGACCAGATGGTGAAGAGTGGCGTGGACCTTGATCTTGTGGCATATAATACCGTAATTAACTTGTACTGCAAGCAAGGTAAGTTGGAAGCTGCTTTTGAGTTGTTGGATGAGATAGAAAAAAGAGGTTTGGGATGCGATGAATATACCCACACAATTATGATAGATGGATTGTGCAAGGCAGGTAATCTTGAGGGAGCCTTGAGACATCTGGGACGCATGAACTTGCTGGGCTTTGGTTCAAACTTGGTTGCTTGCAACTGTGTTATTGATGCCTTGTGTAAAGCTGGTCAAATTGATTGTGCAATGAAATTGTTTGAATCAATGGAGATTAAGGATTCATTTACATACACCTCCTTAGTCCACAATCTTTGCAAGGCTGGAAGGTTCCGTAGGGCATCCCAGCTTCTGTTGACTTGTTTAAGAAGTGGCCTGAAAATATTGAAACCTGCTCAACGAGCTGTAGTTAATGGTCTCAATAATTTGGGATTGAAAAGAGAAGCGAAGAAACTTAGGTCCAAAATTCGTGTGGCCAGGATATTACATCACTAATTTGACAATTTACGTGCTGAATAGTTGGAAGGCTTCTCTTATAATGTTGTTGACTTGGAATCAGAGATCCTTCTATTTTAGTGTGGTTTGTAAATGTCCCCTGTTGAAAGTTAACACAGGGCTGGTAAGACTTGATCCAGGGGATGATAGTAATGAATCTGGGAAATGGATGAATGACAGCCTAAAACCATATTTTCGTGCATATCCCTGGCATTTGTTAAATTGAATGTCCCACTCTACCAGAAAACTTTTTGGAGTATTGAGAAACAAGTTGTCTAAAATAATGAACAGTGCTGTTGACGTTCTATTTTTTCTCAATTGAACGTGTAGAATTCTCACTGCAATGATAATGGGAACTTTTTTGTTCTAGAATGTACATTAGAAGCAGCACAAATCATTGGAAACTTAACCATGTAAGTTGTTGCTTATTACTTGACTATTTATTTATGTAATGTGCTAATGAGATAGTTCTCTTAATTCCTCTTTTTTGTGATTATTATTGTAGTAATGTCATCTAGGTGGCAATTTAACATGGAAGTGGAAAGGTCCTATACTTTCAACCAAAGGCTCAACTGTCTTAGTTCTAATACTTCAAATGATTGTGGTGTGGGACAACTAATTTTGGAACCAACTTTTCTTGGGAAGGAATTAAATTTTGCCAATTGATATAG